CTGCGCAGCATGGCTATTGGCACGCCGGCCGCGAGAAAATGACGGCGGCCACACAAAGCAAGGCGGGGGGCGTGAGCGAAGGTGCAGCCCAGCCCAGCATGTACCCTCACCACTAGGCTCTGTGACTGTAGTGTACCCACGGCTGACTCCAGAGTGTGAGTTCCATCTATCCAAAGCTGAGCTCGTCGGTCGCCTTGGCGGTTTGGCACATACAGTACGTACATGTATAGGTGTGACTCTGAAGTGACGTGTCAAATCAAGTGGTAACTTGCTCGAATCACGAATGAGGGTGACTCGTGACAGCGGGCGAAATCGAATCGGTCCGCCATTCACAGTGATTGGACAGCAAATTCGCGCTGCTTGTTCGTTCCGTCGCTTGACGAGACCTGGTGCGTGTGACGCATGGTGCTGTGCTGCTCGACCGACCTCTTGGACATGGCTGCATATCCGCGCAGCGTCGCATATGTGCGCGGCAAAACGTGAGCCGACAAGGCGGGCGGATTGATTGATGAGAACATGCTGACTGTCACTCACACTGGCGCTGCGTGACTCTCGATTTCTGTTTCCCAGCAGTCGTGAGTGTGAGTCTTGAATATCATCGCGATCGTGATTCGGTAGAGACACCATCAGATTCACCCAATCATCCTACCACAAACTCGACCCGGATGACGCATCTCTTATCTCTCATTCACTGATAATTAGCACATCATCACCCACGCGCCCTCATTTCACAGCCGTAGCTCGGACCAGACGACCATTGGCGTAGTGACGCCTCCAGCGACGTCATTCGAGGCACCAGGAGGCGAGCGTGAGGTTTGGATCCTCAGCTTCCATACGTCGGCAAATCGGCTACTCAGTCGCAACGTAGTCCTCCGCTTTGCTTTTGTACCCACCCTCAGGAGCGCATATCGTCACCTCTCTATCAACAAAGGCCTTCTGCACGACGAGGCTAGGACATCCCACACGTGTGGGCCTCCGCCATACCCTTCGGCAACATGGTCGCTGCCGTCCACAACAGCATAAACTCACAACCTCTCGCTCAGCCAGACAGGAGCGACGCTGCAAGCACATCCTCAGCCGACGCCGATACACCTCCGAGCTTGACGAACAGCGGGGACTCGCCTCATTCCATGTCTGATCACTCGTCGCCGTCTTCGCAGCAGCAACAGCTGCAATACACTGATGCTGTGACCACACCCGTATCCTTCAGCAGCGCTTTATCAGCCAAGAGTCCCGACACGGAAGTTGGCGTCCATGGCGAAACCTCAGAGCGTGTGCCTTGGGACGTCGATGCTGCCCAGGATCAGCAGAGCTTGCATTTGACTGGCAGTTGGGATGAGCAAATGGCAGATGCAGCTCCGATCATGCCGGCGCGCTCTGTTGCTGCTGAAGCACACAATGGCAATGTCATCTCAAACGCTGCATCGAAAACGAGCATCGCTGCGACAGAGTCGTTCAATCCTTACTCATGGGGTGCGATGGCCGCAAACAATTTCTCCATCCCCGGTGTAGACGTCGGAAAAGAGGTGCAGCGAGCATTGACTAGGGGCGGCGGCGTGAATGCTCGCGTGTCTGGGAGTTCTATGGACGGCAATGAATTTGGCAACGACGGCTCCAGTGCCACCGCTAGCGGCGTGCCGTCGGACGACATGTTCGACTCTTTAATTCAAGAGGACAGCTTTGGGTAAGTCCTTGAGCCGCGTGTCTCTAATCATGTGGACCTATGCGCTGACGACACAACTCTTGCCTGTCCTGGCGTCTAAAGGCCCTCTTCTGCTGCGGCCTCAGATCGCGATGAAGACTCTCCTGCGTCATCTACACAACCTCTTGCCGCGGACTTCAGCAAGTTGGCCGTACCTCACAGCGTTGAGTCCCAGCAGTCGGCTAACAACAAGCAGGACGTCACCATGGACGTCGGCTTTTCCGAGGCGACGCCTTCTGTCCCGTCTGGGGTCCACATTGGGCACGGATCGAGCGCCACTTCTGTGCGGTCTGGCGCTGCAAAAGCTCAGTCCAGCAACAATCTCGCACATCAGTCAGACGACACCATCAGTCGCTCCGCCACCACTGTCGTCACTCCTCCAGTCCAGGCGCTGCACAACCTGCAGGTGCATGTCCATGGCATTCCTCTGTCTGGTGCAAAGTCTCGTGTCGAAACCCAAATTCGCGCTCGCATCGAGCTCGTCCGTCCTGCAAACCCGTCGATCAATGGCGCGTCTTCTTCACAATTGGCGGCGAATACCAACCGTTCCAGCTCGAGTCCCTGGGAAGCTATCGGCTCCTTCTCTCACATCAAGTTGCCTCCACACAGCAGCACCAAGAGGAAATCGAAGAAGCCCAAAGTGGGCTCAATAGTACCGGAACGCACGCTGTTCGTGGATGCAACCGTAGTGAATGCAACACCACCGCACAACCGCGTCTTTGTTTGCAAAGGCTGCAGGATGAGAGAGAGGAAACGTGCTCTGCGCAAAAAGGAAGGTCTGGATCACACACCGACCGAGGAAGATATGCTACGACTGGGCGTCGATCCTCAAGCCGAAGGCGCAACAGAATTGGCAGCACAGAGACTGGACGAGGAAGAGAAGCAGCGCATTGTCCTCTTCAACTGCGGCGAGTACGTCGACTTTGCACAGGGCAACTGTGTTCTGCCGACCCGCATCACATGTTACTGCCGCCATCACAACGAGAAGATTGGCTTTTGCATCATCTTTACGATGCGCGACTGGCAAGGCAATGTGATTGCCACCGGCTCCACCCCTCCCATTCTGATCACCGACGATCACAAGTCTGCCGCTGCTCACCAAGCTGC